TGGTTTGTGCTCAGTGGCGCTTTGTGCCGGTACGGTCGCTGACATATTAGCGGAACTCGAATCGTCTGGTCCTCCCGATTCTGCGCAGTGGATAATCTCCCATGATGCGTTGCGCGAAATATGCGTGTGTACCGCTCTGACCAATCAGAGCTGCTCATCAGAGCATCATTAGAGCGGGAGTTAGAGCGGGAGCCAGACGAGCAGAGTTTGTGGCACTAAAGTGTGGATTTAAAGAAAACCGAAGGATTTAAGAAGAAAAAAAGTTCAAGATGGCAAGGGACACTAAAATCCCCACAAAATCCTATCTTTATGAAAGCTGTAGGTTCTCTGTCAGGTGAGGTCGAGCTGTTTTAATTTACATTGAGTTCTCTAGAGGGAAAATTCCTGGGTATCCCGCGTGAATTTAGTCTTGTTCAGTCTGCAGTACCGCGAGAATCCCCTGAGCACATGGGTTCTTCAGCTCCAAGCTAGTAATACCCTATCCAGTTAATATAAAAGATCCATGGCAAAGATCCATGACTAATTCTGTAATAAAGTCATTTTGTATCACATTCTTACATGAAGCTATAATCACACACTTAAAACCTTTCTTTCCATCTAAGCAGATTTCCTTGGCTCTATTTGGCATTAATTTAGATTTCTAAATGGTTTTAACTTATTGCTCCTTGTATATACATTATAAAACAGCCCCAGGACTTGGAAATATTTCTCTTATTCAAAAACACATGGAGAATTGCCTTGCGTTCCGGGCTCACTTTGACGCTCTGACCCACACATTACGCTATCCTACAAACATTACGGACCTTGTTATAAATATATAATCACACGTTCTGAGGTTGCTCAAATAAACTGCGTATATTGTGAATGAAGGTGTTGACAGCTTCGTGATTGGGCCTTGGGTTAGCGCGTTAGCTGTCACTGCTATCCAAGACCCAGGGGGGAAAAAACACACAATTAATACAATGTGTTTTCCCATGTATATATATATATACATACATAATCTGGAATGAAAGTGAGTATTGTATAGCTCATGCATTATGGATACAGGAGACATCATAAAGAAGCAGAGGATGAATAGGTGCATGCTGGGATATTGAGTTTCCCAGTCATTTACATGGAGTCCATAAGGAGCATACAAGCTGTAAATAATATATGTGACTATTATGAAGGAAAGTATGTTTGTAGTAGGAGCATTAACACATTATGTAGTAGCAGTGGTAGCAGTGGTAGTAGTAGTAGTAGTATGATTTTTATCTTCACTCTTTTTAATGTACTGGGATTATTTATGATTTGAATGCCTTGTGGGATCGTTTCTACCTTATTTTGTTCAGCACTTTTGAGTTGAGAATACAAATAAACATGACTTGCCTGCCTTACCTAGTAGTTGCTGCAGCATTAAACATAGTTAGAAGTGGCAGTAGCAACTTCAGTAGTAGTAGCTGTAGCAGTAGTTGTAGTAGTAGTAGTACTTGCAGTAGTGGTAGTAGTAGTAGTAGTAGTAGCAGTAGTTGTCGTAGTGGTGGTAGTAGCTGCTGTGCCCTAGTAGAAGTAGCAGTAGTAGTGGTAGCAGTCGTGATCATAATTAAGAGAATCTGAAATCCCAGTGGGACTTTCCTGCTCAAACAAAGGTCAATAATCATTCATTACTTCCCGATGATTAACAGCAAAAGAACAGAAGACGTGTAAAAAAAGTGATTCATGATCCAAACTTCAGATAACTTTCTCCTTTGACCTCACGAAGTAGAGCAGCCATTTTGAAGGATCCCGTTCTTCCAACAGCTTCGGCGTGTGTTTCTGTGAGATAACTTTGCTCCACTCCTGCATCAGTAATTCAATCAGCTGTTGTGCTCCTGCTTTTTTATTACCCATCAGTGGAACGGGAGGCAGCAGCTTTACTTTCACACCAGCCCTGATTGTAATTGGAACCACTTTATTTTTGCCAATACCGTCTGTGGGAATTATTGCCGTGCGAAAATGAGTCTCTGTCATGGTAATATTTCAACTGTATTTAAACTTTATTTTAACTGTCTTTAAAAGTACTTTTTACTTGATATGTAAGGGTTTGAGTGTCTAAAGAGGTGGCTAAGAAATTAAAGTATTATTATTATTGTTATTGTTTAAGTGTACCATAAGGAGTACAAGTAGTAGTAGTAGTAGTAGCAGACATAGTTAGCAGTAGAAGTGGCGTGAAGTAGTTGGCAGTAAATATATTAGTACCTCATCTTGTACCTCATCAAAAAGTGGAGAGGGTGGTTCTGTCCTAAAATTTGGGAAAATCATTCTATATACAATGGACTGCATATACCTTTAATGATCTCCTTTTTTATTTTTTATACTTGAAATAGCTGTTTAGCTCCCCCTGCTGGCAGTAATTGGTATGAACTATGAAACAATGCATTACTGGTGTGGGCAAGCTTAGATTAGAAGCGTGGAAGAAGGATTTAAAATGGCACTTTCCTGGACTAAAATGCCAAAGCAATAATACAAAAAAAAAAAAAAAACAGGAAAAACACCAGACAGCACAGAACAGAAAATAACAAGACTTTGGAATGTCAAAAATGATGAGTTACAGCTTCCTTCCCGTTTTTAAAAAAAGGGGAAAGATCCTCCCCCAGACACGCAACTGTATGCCCTGCAAAACAAAACAATAAAAGTGTTAAAAGAAAATGGACAAAATTAGAGTCTCCTTGAGCCAGATGTGGTATTCCGGAGGGTGTGGTGGATATTTTAGCTGGATCCACATTAAATTCAAATAAAGGACGTAGGTCCGTTGTGATAACACAGAGGCTGATAGAGAAGTTACAAAATAAGTACATTTATTAACATGATTCTGGTCACTTATAATACATTGTTGTGCTATCCGATGGTTGCTCTTGGACAGCAGTCAACTTCGTGACAGGAATCTGGGTAAGGCACGGCGGAGACAGTGCACCGTATGGCTCCATGGCATCAGTCTAAAAGTACACGTATCTAAATAAATATAATGAATCACAAATTGTTCTAAAACCTAGCAAGTCCTGCTGCGAACCTGGGTTAGCGCGGTAGCCGCTCACACACATGAGCTGGGTTGATAGCCAGAACCACGGGCAGTACACGGGCCAAGTCACGGCAACACACGCGGACCCATGGCAGCATCACTGAACCATGATATTTAACCATCAGTGCTCCATAAAACAAACATCTCACATTTAAATTTCGGATACTACCTGAGAGTGGGAACAGCGACGTAAACCACACAACCGGAAGCAGGAGAGTGAGGTCAGAGGACGAGTGAAAGAAGACGCGTCCCTTTTATTGGGTGATTGACGGGACGAACAACCAATAGAAAATTAGGACGAGAGAAAGTGGCATAGAGCCCGCCTGCAGGCCGTAATGCCACACAGAGAACCAGTTAGACATTGTGGAAAGTAAAGGATTGCTGTAACTTTTTGATTCTCTGATCTGTTGTCGGGGAATGAACAACTCCTCCGAGACTACTGCTGATTTAACAACCTGTGAAGCCACGATGTGTCCCCTTTAAAGATGGGGTACATCAATAACAAAAGTCTATGTAAATACTTTGTTACATCCCCGTTGTTGGAAGTGACATTTTCTGTAAGTCTTCACAAGGTACACACTGGTGCTGGTATTTTGGCCCATTCCTCCATGCAGATCCCTACAAGTACATTGCCATTTTCTAGATTTTTGTCTCTCATAGTTGAGGTGTAACTTTATGATGAAAATTACAGACTTCTCACATCAAGTGGGAGGACTTGCACAATCAGTGGCTAAATACTTTTCTGCGCAACTTTAATTCCTTAGGTTCCCCAGCTTTAAATGCAAGTATAACAATATTCATTCGTCGCCATTTGTTTTTCTATAGAGCTGCGTTGGTACATATGTTGCTGACTGTTTTAAACGATCGTGAGAGAGCGATGACTCTTTTAAAACCACTAACACCTGTTCATATTTATGCCCAGTGCTTAAAGGTAACTCAGACAGATGGACTGTTGTTGATAATGAATCCAATTATGGCTTTTTTATATACAAGGAAGCTAAATCAAATGTTGAAAGTGGAGAGGAGTCCTTATAAAACCTGCAAACTTTGACCTGAAAAGACTTTCTGAAACGCATTCAATTATAGTGTGAAAATACTGCATTGAGCCTTAATCCTCGTTCTACTGTCTGGATCTACAACCAGAGATTTTCTTCTTTTTTTATTTAAGAGATGTTCCTTGGCAATGAATGAGGGTCTAAGGACAGCACTGATTAAGGACATGTTTTCTTCCTTTAATAAATGTACGCACCTTTTAACAGAAAAACCTTGCAGTAAATAAATAAAGATTGTTAAATTTCCTTGGTTACAAGCCCCTTACCGCCCCAACCTCTAGTTATAACAGATGGACTGTTATACCCTGAACCTCACTCTCGGAATCCAGCAGTGAGAACCGACCTCTGCATAATGTGGAGATTCAGGGACATTTGCTATTATAATAGGGCATCAAATCTGTATTTGTAGAGCACATTTAAAACAACCTAGGCTTACCAAAGTGTGGTACAAACAGTAAAAAACAGCATAATAAAAAGTCTCTGGCAATAGGAGCCAGAGAGTTTTCATTATGCTGTTCAGAGTTGGATCAAAACTTCATACATGTGCACTTAACAATTGAACCTAGTCTTGTCTGTATGTATTTTGTGAGTGTTAAGAGTCATTAAATTGGTTGGTCTGGGCCTAGTATATGTACAGCAACAATTATTATTATATTTTTTATTTTTCTTCATGAAAACGGTCTTCATTGAGTTAGCGGGTTAGCATTGTCCATCTTTAAACAGTCTATAGTGTATGGTGGTACAATGACATCATACTACTACAGGACTTTACTACTTTAGACAGAAGGGACGGAGCTACACGTCTGCGATGCAAGTTGACTTGATATTAACGTGGAGGGATTGAGTTGTTAACAGAGAAAACCTTTGAGTATTGTATCTGAAGTGATCCCTCTCTCCACTCTCGTCCACAGCCTGCGAGTTGTACGCGTTCTGCGGAGCCCTGTTCGGCATCTGTGGGATGATGACCCTGATGGTGATCGCCGTGGACCGGTACGTGGTCATCACTCGTCCCCTGGCCTCTCTGGGCGTCATGTCCCGGAAGAAAGCCATGGTCATCAGCGCCGTGGCCTGGCTCTACTCCATGGGCTGGAGCCTGCCACCTTTCTTCGGCTGGAGTGAGTATGGATCTTAAAATAAACAAAATACATGTCTGATATTTGCTTAAAGCTAATGAGAAGGTTGTTTTTTTATGTTGATTTATTTATAGATTTTATACTTGCATGTTTATTTTGTGCTCTGTGCTATTCACTCCCACTGATCTGTAACTGCTGATGCAACACTGAAATGTCCCCACTGTGATATGAATCCAAGATCTCTTCATTATTTAAAACTTGCCAACCACACCAACCATAACTATGTCCTAAACTTAGCCCAATAGGGAAGTGCTCATGGACCAAGTTTTTCTCCCATTCACTCTGCCTCCTATATTGACTTTGACTTTGAAAAGTACACTCACAAAATTGGACTTAAAAAATCTCTTTGACCCTGGTATTTATAGTGTGATATTGTTTCTGTTGTTGGGAAATTGGCAACTTTGTAAAATCTTTTGAGACCAATTAGATGCATTCATTCATGGGGGAAACTCCAACTTGCCTTAGCAACCATCTTAGCAACACATCTGCTCCTGTTTCCGCACAAAGCTAATGCTGTTTGAACAAATGCCCGTATAAGAAAATTGGCTCCAGCTAGCTTATGTTCAAATAAGCCTCTCCCCCGCATTAAAGCTAACACCGTGGTGATGTCACACTTTCTCAGTCCCCTTCTAATATAGAGTCTATGGTCCCAAGGCAGGACTCAAAAACATTTGTTGGATGACTTATGAATGTTTGGTCTCTCTGCCTGTTCTCCAATCCTGCTGGGAAAGTTGTAGATAATAAATAAAGCTGCAAAACTCTCCTAGAGAAATTATAATTGCCTCGTCACACCTTACTGCAGTTTCAAGTTTTCTTCTTGTTGATCCGTCGAGGGGCACTGGCAACAACACACTATTATCGCTGGAGCTTGACCGTGGACCTACACTGAAAAATGTCTTGATGCAAAAGGAGAGGATGCAGATGCTAAGCTGTAACACGGGTTTATCTTCGAGTCTCTCCAGATCGAACTAAAGGAGACAAAGATTTTTATAGGATTTGAATCAATGTGCATTAGAACAGAGACGTCATCACTTGAGACATTGATGATGCAAGCTTAAAGGAGCAGTATGTAAGAATCTGGCCAAAAGTGGTACTGCAATCTCTCCCACTCTCCCTGACTGAGGTTGGCAGATATGCAAACGAATCCACCTGGGAACATAATAGTTGAATGGACAAGAGTTTTGTCAACAACAAATCTACAACCAACACCTTTTTGACAAAGGCCCCGATAGAAATCCTGGTTTTATTCCTTGTTTTGTTGTGAATGATTTGAGAATCATGGCGTCGTAAAGATGGGGTCGTGGCAGGAGCTCTGGTGTGTGCCGTCTTCTGTCTGGTGCACACTGGGGTAGTCTTGCACAGTTTTTTCAATGTGGCTTTACTGCAAATGGCAAATAAATGAATCTGAATCTGAATCATAACGAGACCGTTTTTAGTATTAGTAAAACAATAAGAAAAGAACAAAACTCATTTTTAAATCAAATATTTCGCTGAACTACTGTTATCAGTTTAAGAAGTATTCGGAAAGAGCATGATATATCATTCCCTTTTGACATAATACGGCCATTAAACGATGACTTGACGTGAAAATCTTACATATTGCTACTTTAAGATATAGCTGCTGTAGCAACAATGTGGGTCAGAACAAATACAGCCATTGGTCCACAAGGGGCAGATGACAAATGTCCATAAATGTTTATAGATGTCCATAAAAGTCGTTGAATGTCGAATTTCCCAGATCATCACCACCGTCCTTTGACCCTCCTGCATCGGCAAAATTAAAACTCTGGCCCTGTTCATTTGTAAACAGTTTCTGCTTGGTACATAGCGTTGTTCCTTTGGGTGTTAAGAGTTCGACCAAAACAACTTTAACAGCTCAAACTGACGTAAGACTTCCTTCCTCTCGCATGCGAAAAGGAAAAATGCCTCTTCACAGAAAAAAAAAAAAGTTAGCGAGGCACTAACTTTACGACGCTGGGGATTCCTGAATGATTATGTTTGTTTTTGCAAATGGAGGTGTCAGGGGTGTGTGCCACTGAGCCGTCTTTTATCTAAATCAATATCTCTGCTAGCTTTTCATTCAGACGGCAGTGGGAAATGTGAGCCGCACAAAGCCACGGCTGCCTTTGTGGAATCTATGGTAGCTCAATATGTTAGTGAGTGAGAAGTCGATGGTCCAATCCCAGCTACAATCAATGAATCTGAGGCTAACTTTGAGCAAGACACAGCATTCGAGTGACATGTTAGTGCCATATGGACCAAATCCAGTCCCTATTCCATATGGTTGATGTTGGCAATGTTTTTTGTCATAGGTGCGTACGTTCCTGAGGGCCTGATGACGTCCTGCTCCTGGGACTACATGACCTTCACGCCGTTGGTGCGCTCCTACACCATGCTCCTCTTCACCTTCGTCTTCTTCATCCCTCTGGGCGTCATCATCTTCTGCTACTTCTGCATCTTCAGGGCCATCCGACACACGACCAGGTCAGAAACCACTGGGAGTTACAAAGGGAATGACCTGATGCCCCGTTTCCACCAGCCCTACCTGCTCTACTCTGCTCTACTCTACTCTACTCTAATCTGCCCTCCTCTCCTCCGATTGCGAGCCTTTCCACCGGCCCTGTTTAACGTTTTAAAGGCGTGATGGAAAAATTAATGCTAATTTTAAAATACAGTTTAGCCTAGGAAAAAACTCACACACAAACAGACATAGTTCAGTAGTTCTTTATACTTGGTCGCCCTTTCCAAGGAGACATAACTTTAGAGGACAGCGCACAAACCCAGTCTCATCAAGCAAGTCTGACCTATGACAAACCATAACTTGCTTTTGATAGAAAAGAAGGCACAGCTTCACAGGAAAGAGGGAACCAACAGAAAGGAACAATGAGACAAGACCTCCCTATAAACTAGTTTAGTTTTATTTTAACTATACTAGCTCCTCATTCCCACTGTTCTGTAACTTGTGATGCAACACTAACATTTTCCCGCTGTGGGCAAATAAAGGATCTCTTAATCTTAATCTTAAACTAACACTCCTGTTTACATGTAAATAGTAAACCAAAAAGCCCAACTTCAAACAAGGCCCATGCTTCCTCTTGGCAAAATTGATTAACTTACAAAACCCCCTTTGTCCAGAGCCAAAGGTGAATTAAACTTAAATTACCCAAAATGTATTTTCAATCACATATGATTCATTGAAATGATAACTTAAAACAACATTCTAATCACAAAACACAACCAGGAACTGTAGACTAGAGTAGACTAGAGTAGACTAGAGTAGACTAGAGTAGACTAGAGTAGAGTAGAGTAGAGTAGAGTAGAGTAGAGTAGAGTAGAGTACATGGACACACGGGTATTTACTGCATATTGCTCTGCACCTTTGTAGTCCTCCTGACACGACCGCTGGTGTGATTCAGAACTGCACAAAAACCCATTGAATTGAATAGAAATTTGAGGCCAGGCATTGCTTTGTCTGATCTGCTCTCTTCACCATTCGAGCATGGAGCAAAACTTACATCCCTGAGCTTTAGAGCCCTGGGTTTGAGGTTTGAGTGCAGGTTTGTGTGTGAGGTTTGTGTGTGAGGTGTATGTGTGAGGCGTGCGTGCAGGTATGAATACAAAAGGCCATAATCCGCTGTGACAGTGACGAGTGAGTGGGCAGAGGCGGCTGCTGCTCTTGATGAATGGAGCGTCCAGCGACCATCGATTTCCGCTCATGTCCTGCTCCTGCCGGACACCAACGAGCCTTTGTGGCCGACACTCAATAAAACTATAGGGACGTCTTAATAACATCTTCTCTCCCCTCTCTCCAATCCCAAGTCCTCAGAGACAAAGCTAAAATCACAACGCAATGAACTGTGTCTCAGTCAAGAATTACAAACAAAAAAGTTGATTTGAGAAAGATTGGACGTGACGTGAAGAAAAAGTTGTGTGTGCGAGAAAATATGTGGACAATAACAGTGTTTGGAAAAGTTGAATAATTAACAACAAGAAGAGTTTGGAAATGACACATATGGCCTGAAATGTGGGGAAAAAAACATTAAAATTCATTAAACAAGCAACATATTTGAAAGGCTGTTACAACACAATTTCAAAGGCGAGCACAGTCTCACAGTTTCATGCACAGAAGCATTTTCGACTCATTTCAAGTCAGAAATTGCTTGACGTTTTTCATTTTAGGTGAAGCAAGACTTGTTATACTTCTTCCATTGGTAAATCACAATATAACACAGTCAAAAATTTTCATATATACCAGATACTGATGGAAACGTAAAATTATATGAATAAATAAAAGTAACAGATACAAAAGCTTTCCAAACTTGGTTTTCCTGTTTTTGTCTCTGTTTTGAGCCCAAACGCTTGCTTTCTCTTCCGTAAGCGTTATATTAAAAAGAAGAAAATCTCTCTGAGTGCCCTGATCTTTTAGCTCCTATGATCAAAATATTTTGCACACACACAATCTAAGGTTATAAAAAATACCCTTTTAATGCTGCCCAACTTCACCCAGACTCGACCTCATGCGGCGCCAAGATAAATTGGGTTTGAGACCCCTGCATAAGATGAAGGCAGCGTGTTGTGATCCTACATTATATTTTCTGTGGATAAATGTGTTTATCAGATCATGGCGACTACATCTCTAAAAAAAAACAACAAAACAGACTGTTGAGCTTCATGCATTTTCTAAATCTAAAGAAAAACACCTCGTTCTAACAGAAATAGATGATGAATCGTCCGTACTGATTGGAAGCCGCTTTGGAAGCTGGAAATACATTCTCACAGACGTCGACGGACGATTTATCACAGAGACGTCAGAGATAAATCACCCAGGTCCTGATTCTGACCCATCACTTATAGACTCAGGTCCATCCGGCTCGTTGACCCTGGGGTAACTCTGAGATAGATAGATAGATGGATAGATAGACAGGCAGAGAGACAGAAAGAGAGGCAGAGAAACAGAGAGACAGGGAAACAGAGAGAGATAGGTAGAGATAGAGAGAGACAGAGAGGAAGAGAGAGAGTGAAAGGGACAGAGAAACAAAGAGAGAGATATATATATAGAGAGAGAAAGAGAGAGACAGGCAGATCGAGGGACACAAAGAAACAGAAAGAGACAGAGGAAGAGACAGACAGGGAGATACAGAGAGAGATAGAGAAAGACAAACAGATTAAACCACTACTCTGTACTGTAAAGTGAAAAAAATTTATTGCAATATTTCGTAAAAATGGTCCTATTAAAAAGACCCTTAAAAGAGGTTAGGGGTTCTGAAATTTCAGAAGTTAGACCAATGTTCCCATCATTCTTAAACCAATGGGCAAATACTGTCCAAATTTTTATTAATTCAATAACCTTCAAACATAACCAGATACCCACAACACAATCTAATTATGCAAGAAACACTTACAATAATAATTGTATTACATGTTCATTAGTGCATACATGTAAATTAGATTCCTGACACTTGTATGACTACTGTCTCTCTCTCTCTCGGTTCTCTCTCTCTCGTCTCTCTCTCTGGTCTCGCTCTGGTCTCTCTCACTGGTCTCCTTATGGACTCTTTCTCTCTGGTCTCCTTCTATTCTCTTTAAGGTCTTTCTCTCTGGTCTCTCTCTTTCTCTCTGGTCTCTCTCTCTGGTCTCTCTGGTATCTCTCTCTTGTCTCTTTCGGGTCTCTCTGGTCTCCTTATGGCCTCTTTCTCTCTGGTCTCTCTCTGGTGTCCTTCTGGCCTCTCTCTCTGAAGTCTTTCTCTTCTCTTTCTGGTCTTTCTCTCTGGTCTCTCTAAAACTAAATAACTCATTTTCAAAGTAGTGCATACATGTACATTCGTTTCCAATGACACTTGTATATGACTACTGTATGGCCTGTGTTTCTTTCTCCTCCAGGGCAATATCAAAGATAAATTGCCATGGAAACAGAGACTCGGCCAAAAAGTTCCACAAAATGAGGAGTGAGTGGAAGATGGCCAAGATCGCTCTGATCGTCATCCTCCTCTTCATCATCTCTTGGGCCCCGTACTCCTGCACCGCACTCACTGCGTTTGCCGGGTGAGTGTTTGTGGATCTCTATGAGCACCGTCTGGCTCCGGCTATTTACTACAATAAAAAACAATTGTAATAACTAGATACATATAAAGACTTTAGAGCAACTCTGTTTGTGTATAAATCCTCTGTGGTCTTTCTCTGTGGTAGTAGTAGTAGTAGTAAGTAATCTTTATTTATATACCGCCTTTTCACTGCACATCGGAGTCTCAAAGCGGTTTACAATTGTTATTTTTAGGGCATTTGTCCTCTCGCTCCACACAGAGATGGGAGCGGGGTCGCCAGTAAAGGAGGCGGTATAGGAGGCGCCCAGACCTATTGTACATATTTTTAGTGGTAGGGGAAACCGGAGTACCCGGAGGAAACCTACGCAGACACGGGGAGAACATGCAAACTCCACTCAGAAAGGCCCTGGTCCGACCGGGATTCGAACCCAGGACCTTCTTGCTGAGAGGCGAGAGTGCTATCCACTCAGCCACCGTGGTCTCGCTCTCTCTCTCTCTCTCTCTGGTCTCTTTCTGGTCTCCTTCTGGTCTCTCTTCCTGGTCTCTCTCTTTCTCTCTCTGGTCTTTTTTCTGGCCTCTCTCTCTCTATGGTCTCTTTCTGGTCTCTCTCTCTCTGGTCTTTCTCTGGTGTGTCTCTCTCTCTGGTTTCTTTCTGGTCTCTCTCTCTCTGGTCTTTCTCTGGTGTCTCTCTCTCTCTCTCTCTCTCTGGTCTCTTTCTGGTCTCTCTTTCTCTGGTCTCTCTCTGGTCTCTCTCTCTGATCTCACTCCCCATGGCCTCCCACCAAAGTACACCACCATATGAACCATGGAGGGCCACGAAGAGAACAGGGACTGGCCTCCTGCTGGTGCCCAGAGTCAGAACTAAAAAAGGGGAGGCAACATTTTATATTCAGGCAGCTAAAATCCGGAAGAGTCTTCCTGCAAATATGAGACAGACTTCTTCTCTGAAACATTCAAATCTAAGTCAAACACCAGTGATTCCGTACCTCTTGAATTGAGGTAATAAAACTGATTTTAATCTATTTGTCGTTAATTACAAGCAAATATCATACATTTCTCTAATCTTTCTCTATCTATAAAGTTTTCCAATGAAGAAATTGTGTATTTTTATGAACAAAATATATCACAGGGCAAGTTTCTGGACCAATATTTCTGTCAAGAGACAATTTGACTCCGATCCAGACACCCAGACATCGTTCTAATCTACTTTCAAATCTGCGAAACACTAAATAAAGCCAATTTACAGTTTTATTTCTGACCATTAAGAGTTTCTCAGAATACATTTTAGGTTATTACTTTTGTGAATTTCATTTGGCATTTTAACTATGTCACAATTCACTTTCAAACTGCAGCAGCAGCCACAATTCTTTTTCCACATCAACAAAGAAGTACAGAAGTTTCTCCAAGGATTCTCAGGTCAAAAACGTGTTCTCAGGTAAAAAAAAGAAAACAAAAGTAAAAAGCAGAGGTCATGGGAGAAAGACTTAGGCCACAGAAAGACACAGATACGTCCAATAATTGAGTTTTTTATATAATTGAATTGTGTTGTAATGTAAACGAAGCTGAGTGAGTTTGTCCATTAGCCTGAGGTTCTGCACAAGTATCACACACTCGCTTTAATCTAATCTAATCTGATTTTGTTTTCTTGCATTCCTGTAATCCCTGATGAAAATACATGTCAAAGTTCACTTGTTTCTCTGAGAACATTTCAAAACTTTGCGATGTTTGACAAGAATTTCTTTTGACAATAATAACATGAGCTTCGCGGCAGAGATATGTTATTGTTATTTTTGTATTTGTTTGTTTTTGTGTGATTGTGTGTGACATAAAAGAAATAGTGCTGCTCTGATTTCTCTCCCAGGTCTCCCTCTGGTCTCCCTCTGGTCTCACTCTGGCTTCTTTCTCTGGTCTCTCTCTGCTCTCTCTCTGGTCTCACTCTCTGGTCTTTCTCTCACTTGTCTGTCTCTGGTCTCTCTCTCTCTTGTTCTTCTCTCTGGTGTCTCTCACTCTGGTCTTTGTCTCTCTGTTCTCTCTCTCTAGTCTCTCTCTAGACTCTCTCTCTGGTGTTGCTCTCTGGTCTCTCTCTTTGGCCTCACTCTCTGGTCTTTCCCTCTGGTCCCTCTCTGTGGTCTCTCTCGTCTCTCTCTGGTCCCTCTCTGGGCTTTCTGTCTGGTCTCTCTCTCTGCTCTCCCTCTCTGGTCTCTCTCTGGTCTCATTCTCTGGTCTCTCTCTGTTGTCGCTCGCTCTGGTCTCTCTCTGTTGTCCTTCGCTCTGGTCTCTCTCTGTTGTCCTTCGCTCTGGTCTCTCTCTGTTGTCGCTCGCTCTGGTCTCTCTCTGTTGTCCTTCGCTCTGGTCTCTCTCTGTTGTCCTTCGCTCTGGTCTCTCTCTGTTGTCGCTCGCTCTGGTCTCTCTCTGTTGTCGCTCGCTCTGGTCTCTCTCTCTGGATCTGAACATTGTCAGAGTAGAAACTAAACATATGTATCATCTATAAATATGGCTGCAGTTTCCTCAACCTGAACTTTTTATTGTTTGTTTTTCTCACGGTACATTGTTGCAATATTGCACGGGACACGCCAATAACCTTTCCGTGGGAGATGGTGAGGTTGGATTGGCGTGTCTTCTTCTTCTTAACTTCCTGGTTCCTGCCGCTCTCTGGGATATTCTGGGAGCCGATAATCTGGTCTGCTGAATGCGTCTCATTTCCTGTCCTCGTTTCTCATCTCTGCCACAGGTATGCGGACCTGCTGTCGCCTTACATGAACTCGGTACCAGCTGTGATCGCCAAGGCCTCCGCCATCCACAACCCCATCGTCTACGCCATCACTCACCCCAAGTACAGGTGCCACCCTTTCATCCATCATTACTCTTCAAAATGACCGGTCCAATGACTGTTAAAAAGTGCTAATTAAAAAGAGGCGTTAATATGAATTTTCCTTTAATCAAAGCTGGGGTACCTAATTTCCACGCTCTGGTTTCTCTCTCTGTTCTCTCTCTGGTTGCTCTCTCTGGTCTCCTCCAGGTCTCTCTCTCTGGTCTCTCTCTAGTCTCTCTCTGGTCTCTCTCTCAGGTCTCTCTCTGGTCTGGTGACTCTCTTTCTGGTCTCTTTCTGGTCTCTCTCTGGTCTCTCTTTCTCTCTGGTCTCTCTCTAGTATCTCTCTCTGGTCTCTTTCTCTCTGGTCTCTCTCTAGTATCTCTCTCTGGTCTCTTTCTCTCTGGTCTCTCTTTCTCTCTGGTCTCTCTTTTACTCTGGTCTCTCTCTCTCTCTGGTCTCTCTTTCTCTGGTCTCTTTCTCTCTGGTCTCTCTTTCTCTCTGGTCTCTCTCTCTCTGGTCTCTCTGGTCTCTCTCTAGTATATCTCTCTGGTCTCTCTTTCTCTCTAGTCTCTCTCTCTGGTCTCTTTCTCTCTGGTCTCTCTTTCTCTCTGGTCTCTCTTTCTCTCTGGTCTCTCTCTCTCTGGTCTCTCTTTCTCTGGTCTCTTTCTCTCTGGTCTCTCTTTCTCTCTGGTCTCTCTTTCTCTGGTCTCTTTCTCTCTGGTCCTTTTCTCTCTGGTCTCTTTCTCTCTGGTCTCTTTCTCTCTGGTCTCTCTTTCTCTCTGGTCTCTCTCTCTCTGGTCTCTCTTTCTCTCTGGTCTCTCTCTCTCTGGTCTCTCTTTCTCTCTGGTTTTTAAAAAAAAACTGAATTCATTCATAGGAGGCAGATTACCACAGTCCTTAAATGTCCTTAAATGTCCATTAATGAGACCCTCCTCCATCTGCAGGGAACGGCAAAAAAACCCAGATTGAAAATTATAATGAAAATCTTAGCAGTCGCAATTTTCAAATCTCAAAGACTACAATTATTGAAGTCTATTGCTTAAAAAAGAGACTAACAAAGATAAGATGAGATTTGTCATGTTCTCGTTCTAAATGAGACAGCTCATCTATTTCACTAAACTGTCAAAATGTGTTGCACTCAGGTCTGACTGTTGGAAATGTGTGAGAAAAGATGACAAGTAATTAAAACTATTATACAGGAGAAACTCGGGAAAATCAGAATATCTTTTAAAAGTCTATTTCTGTAGTTTAACTTATAGTGTTAAACTGGCTACATGAAACATGACTTCTTTCTTATAATGTGATTTAATTTTCTGGCTTCTCTCTGTTTTCTCTCTCTTGTCTCTCTCTCTCATGTCTCTCTCTTGTCTCTCTCTGTTCTCTCCTTGATCTCTCTCTCTCTGACCTCTCTTTCTAGTCTCTCTCTGGTCTCTCTCTGGTTTCTCTCCCTGGTCTCTCTCTGGCCTCTCTCTCTGGTCTCTCGCGGGTCTCACTCTTGTGTCTCTCTCTCTGGTCTCTCTCTCTCTTGTCTCTCTCTCTGGTCTCTCTCTCTCTTGTCTCTCTTTCTGGTCTCTCTCTCTCTGGTGTCTCTCTTGTCTTTCTCTGGTCTCTCTCTGGTCTTTCTCTAGTCTCTCTCTGGTCTCTTTATGGTCTCTCTCTGATCTCTCTCTGGTCTCTCTCTGGTCTCTCTCTGGTCTCTCTCTGGTCTCTCTCTGGTCTCTCTCTAGTCTCTCTCTAGTCTCTCTCTGATCTCTCTCTAGCACCTTTACACAGAAAACACCAACACAATGCTTAAACATAGGAAATCAAAAATCCCGCATCACAATTGCAACACATAGAAACATTACCAATACACATTTCTGTAAAAATAGTAAACTTTAGCTTTAGCATTCATCTCTCTCTCTTTTCTTCTCGTCCTCAGATCCGCCATCAGTCGGTACGTGCCCTACCTCGGCGTCCTCTTGTGCATCCCGTCCCGCGACCGCTTCACCAGCAGCAGCTTCCAGTCCACGCGGCGTTCCACCCTGGCCAGCCAATCAGAGAGCGCCCACCCCAGCAAGGCCCAGTCCTCCCAGTCTGAGAGCGAATCAGTGAGTGGCCTTCTTATATACTAGGGTATGTCTCTGTCTTACGATCTCGACACTTACTGTGCAAAAAAAATCTATGTGTTTTTGGACTCATTTGAGTTTTTTGTTGTTCTTTTAGGCGCGGTTCTCGGACACGGAGGAGGACTTGGCCGCGTCTGCCCCGGCCAGTCGGCAGGGGTCCACGGAGGTCCGGCAGGGGCGCCACCCGAGCCAGAGGTCCAAGCTGAAGGTTTACGGAGCGGGAGAGAAACACGTGGGCTACGACCTCAGCGACAGCAGCATGTGTCAGCTCTCACAGATCTCAGTGAGTCCCTACCAGTCTACTTCAACCACAAATAAACAATTTTTTAAGCAGTTAATTAAAGAAACAAATACAAATACAAATAATAATAATAATACATCAAACTTATATAGCGCTTTTTGGACACTCAAAGACGCTTCACAAAACACATTTAAATAAACAGAAGTTGTTTGAGGACGAGGGTGATGTGGTCTCTGGAGCAGGTGTGGGTGAGCAGGCGGGCGGCGGAGTTCTGGATGTATTGTAGTTTTTGGATATGGGTGGAAGGGAGACCGAAGAGGAGGCTGTTGCAGTAGTCCAGTCTGAAGGTGATGAAGGCATGAACCAGATTATCTTAAAATTGGAATACAAGAAAAATTGTAGTATTCAAGTGACAGTGACAGACTAATTCACCCTCATTCCTTCCTGCTGCTGTCAGACTGTACAACGAGAATGTGTAACAGGAAATGCTGAGTCTGTACAAGTGTCACTGATAATTAACTAGTAACTTTGTCACTAGTCACTTTACCTGTTGATATTTTACTGTATTATTCATAACCATCTGATAATTCTCCCATTCAAGTCACTTTACCTGACAGTAAAAACTTATTAACATTAAGTCTCAAACAAGATTCCAAAGTGGTAAAATCTCCATCCCTTCAGGAACAAGTCATTCAGAGAAATATCTTACATCTGAGGATACAAAAGTATGAACAAAAGCTAATAACTTCATAATAAAACATCACTTATGATTTTTTTGTGGCATTTCCTGGTGTAATTCCTGCTAAAGCTTCTTCTATTGTTCCCATTTGTGCTCCATTGAGTGAAAGCCCCACGGCCTCTGGTGCAGATGGCGGCCTCAGTCTGGTCCAACACGGGTCTCAGATTATGGCCTGACAGCGCTGGGATTAGGGGATTAGGTTCAGTTTGCCCGTGCAATAAAGTCCTGACCCAACAAGACCCTATAGGCCACACAAAGAGGTGAAATCAAGGCTCTCCGGGTCTTTACATGATTACATTAAACACTATAGGAAGCAATTAACGAGGACCTGGAACAATTATGTAATGGAGTTTACATGAGGGTCAATGTATAGTCTACGTAAAAGCACGTCCCTTTGAGCTAAGAGCTGATTGGCCGAGTGAGGCCGATCCATTCTTTTTCTCGTTTCTCTCTGAAAAAGCCGATCAAAAGAAGTGACGGAGGCCAATATAAGCACGAATGAAACCACGGATGACCACATGAAACCACCCGTGTCTGCCATTTTACTTTTTTATGTGCAATAATAATCTGAATAGTGTCAGGATGTGCAATATAGAACCACATGTGTCCACTGTCACTTTAGTTTTGGTGTTAAAATGTGTTATGGTGTGGTATTGAAATTATATCCTGGTAGACACAAAATGATTTAGTTGATTGATATTGAATTATAATTTCACCATATAATTATATAATATAAAAGTGAGGAATTATTTGACTAGCACAAATATACATGTACATGTACATGTACATGTACGTGACCATTTAAATGACATAGTCTGTAGAAGGAAATGTGTTTTAAAACTACAACTGGATTTGGTTTTGTTTGTTTATTTTTCCTGTAAATGGCTTGGAGGAGTTCAAGTATCTCGGGGTCTTGTTCACGAGTGAGGGAAGGATGGAGCGTGAGATTGACAGGCGGATCGGTGCAGCGTGCGCAGTGATGCGGTCGCTGTATCGGACCGTTGTGGTAAAGAGGGAGCTGAGCCGAAAGGCAAAGCTCTCAATTTACCGGTCAATCTTCGTCCCCTCCCTCACCTATGGTCATGAGCTTTGGGTAATGACCGAAAGAACAAGATCGCGGATACAAGCGGTCGAAATGAGCTTCCTCCGCAGAGTGGCTGGGCGCTCCCTTAGAGATAGGGTGAGGAGCTCAGTCACACGGGAGGAGCTCGGAGTAGAACCGCTGCTACTCCACGTCGAGAGGAACCAGTTGAGGTGGCTCGGGCATCTGTTCCGGATGCCTCCTGGACGCCTCCCTGGGGAGGTGTTCCGGGCATGTCCCACCGGGAGGAGGCCCCGGGGAAGACCCAGGACACGCTGGAGGGACTATGTCTCTCAGCTGGCCTGGGAACGCCTTGGAGTCCCCCCGGACGAGCTGGAGGAGGTGTGTGTGGATAGGGAAGTCTGGGCGTCTCTGCTTAGACTGCTGCCCCCGCGACCCGGCAACGGATGAAGCGGAAGAAAATGGATGGATGGATGGCTTGGAGGGTGGGAGTAAATAAGCTTGTCTTCATTCCACTTCCTTCCAAGTTGTCTCTTCTTTGTTGACAAAAAGTTGTAATGGTGCATTAATATTGCATAGCATCGTAATGTATTGATTTTCTTCTTGTGTTGTATTGTACCAGCTTGGAATAAACTAAACTAAACTAAAATTAGTAAGAGCCAGGTATGAGTGATTTAGATTGGATCATATTTCTGCTTGTTGTGGTTTCAAAGTTACATACCCCATCTTTACAGTTTTTCTCTATTGCTACAACACAAAACCCAGTACTCTAAACCAAATGACCAATTGCCTAAACACATGTATTAAAACTTCCCCCCACTTCTCACAACCATAAACACAATTCTCCTGTAGACACTGTTCACAAAACACATGCCCTTTTTCTCAAAACTCTAAACACATTTGTCTTTTGCTAAAACACATTTATCTCTGCTCCTATAATCATTGTGAGGCTCATGTGATGAAAAATATCTCCCACTGTCAGCAAAACCTGAACACAATGAACAGACCTGGTGTCATTCAGAAAACACAACCATCAAACCTGAAAACTCCTGTTGCAAATGATGTGACCACAACTTTATAAGTCAGTGCAGTTTGATGAAGGTTCAAAACGAAAATGGATAATCAAGGCAGAAGAAGAGGAGTTTGTGTCAGAGGAGGGAGAGGAGCAGGCCGAGGAGGGAGAGGAGGGAGAGGGGCAGGTCAAAGAGGGAGAGGAGCAGGCCAAGGAGGGAGAGGAGCAGGCCGAGGAGGGAGAGGAGCAGGTCGAGGAGTGAGAGGAGCAGGCCGAGGAGGGAGAGGAGCAGGCCGAGGAGGGAGAGGAGCAGGCCGAGGAGAGAGAGGAGCAGGCCGAGGAGAGAGAGGAGCAGGCCGAGGAGAGAGAGGAGCAGGCCGAGGAGAGAGGAGCAGCCGAGGGCCGAGGAGGAGAGGAGAGGAGCAGGCCGAGGAGGAGAGGAGAGAGGAGGAGAGGGCGGGAGGAGAGCAGCCGAGAGAGAGAGGAGCAGGCCGAGGAGAGAGAGGAGCAGGCCGAGGAGGGAGAGGAGCAGGCCGAGGAGGGAGAGGAGCAGGCCGAGGAGTGAGAGGAGCAGGCCGAGGAGAGAGAGGAGCTGGCCGAGGAGAGAGGAGCAGCCGAGGAGGAGAGGAGCAGGCCGAGGAGGGAGAGGAGCAGGCCGAGGAGGGAGAGGAGCAGGCCGAGGAGGAGAGGAGCAGCCGAGAGGAGAGGAGCAGGCCGAGGAGAGAGAGGAGCAGGCCGAGGAGGAGAGGAGCAGGCCGAGGAGGGAGAGGAGCAGGCCGAGGAGGGAGAGGAGCAGGCCGAGGAGGGAGAGGAGCAGGCCGAGGAGGGAGAGGAGCAGGCCGAGCAGGGAGGGAGAGGAGCAGGCCGAGGAGAGAGAGGAGCAGGCCGAGGAGGGAGAGGAGCAGGTCGAGGAGTGAGAGGAGCAGGCCGAGGAGAGAGAGGAGCTGGCCGAGGAGAGAGAGGAGCAGGCCGAGGAGGGAGAGGAGCAGGCCGAGGAGGGAGAGGAGCAGGCCGAGGAGGGAGGAGGGAGAGCGAGGAGGAGAGGAGGCCGAGAGGAGAGGAGCAGGCCGAGGAGGAGAGGAGAGGGCGAGGAGAGAGAGGAGCAGGCCGAGGAGGGAGAGGAGCAGGTCGAGGAGTGAGAGGAGCAGGCCGAGGAGAGAGAGGAGCTGGCCGAGGAGAGAGAGGAGCAGGCCGAGGAGGGAGAGGAGCAGGCCGAGGAGGGAGAGGAGCAGGTCGAGGAGGGAGAGGAGCTGGCCGAGGAGAGAGAGGAGCAGGTCGAGGAGTGAGAGGAGCTGGCCGAGGAGGGAGAGGAGCAGGTCGAGGAGGGAGAGGAGCAGGCCAAGGAGGGAGAGGAGCAGGTCGCGGAGTGAGAGGAGCTGGCCGAGGAGAGAGAGGAGCAGGCCGAGGAGAGAGAGGAGCAGGCCGAGGAGAGAGAGGAGCAGGCCGAGGAGAGAGAGGAGCAGGCCGAGGAGGGAGAGGAGCAGGCCGAGGAGAGAGAGGAGCAGGCCGAGGAGAGAGAGGAGCAGGCCGAGGAGAGAGAGGAGCAGGCCGAGGAGGGAGAGGAGCAGGCCGAGGAGAGAGAGGAGCAGGCCGAGGAGGGAGAGGAGCTGGCCGAGGAGAGAGAGGAGCTGGCCGAGGAGAGAGAGGAGCAGGCCGAGGAGGGAGAGGAGCAGGCCGAGGAGAGAGAGGAGCAGGCTGAGGAGAGAGAGAAGGAGGGCGAGCAAGACAATGCATTTCCATTACAGATGAACTAAGAGCAACAGACATTGTCCACGGCATGACTATTGTGTCTAATGGATCTTCTATAGAATCTACAGTACCCATGTTTGCACTGAGTTTTGATATAACTGCATTTTCTGCGTTATGTAACTATTCTCATGATACGCATAAATCTATAGTAAATGCCCAAAACATATTTGAGAATAAAAAAAGGGTTGCTCAAATGCATCCTGGCAGTTGTGAAACTGTAAAAAAGAACAGTCTCACATTCTGAAAATTGTGTTTTCAATTGTTTTGGTGAAGTGGTTAATGATGCTCATAGTGTTCACATTTTTGCAGACCATGAGAGGGATTTTGGTGTGATGGGTTGGTTTTGAAAAGAGACTGTGTTGTTGTGTGTACGTAGCTTTAAAAAAGAGGTTTGTGTTTAGAGTTTTGAGAAAAGGGAGGGCAGTATCGTGAAATGTGTTTAAGCTATAGAGAAAAACTGTAATGTCCAGAACAGGCTGAAACCAGTGACAAAAGGGTCTACAGTCTGGGTTAATCCGTTACTAAATGGCTTCCTTTATATGATCTATAAAATATCAAAGGTGTATGTTTGTGTTATTTACAGTTTTTCTCTATTGCTTAAACACATTTCACGATACTGCCCTCCCTTTTCTCAAAACTCTAAACACAAACCTCTTTTTTAAAGCTACGTACACACAACAACACAGTCTCTTTTCAAAACCAACCCATCACACCAAAATCCCTCTCATGGTTTGCAAAAATGTGAACACTATGAGCATCATTAACCACTTCACTAAAACAATTGAAAACACAATTTTCAGAATGTGAGACTGTTCTTTTTACAGTTTCACAACTGCCAGGATGCATTTGAGCAACACTTTTTTTATTCTCAAATATGTTTTGGACATTTACTATAGATTTATGCGTATCATGAGAATAGTTACATAACGCAGAAAATGCAGTTATATCAAAACTCAATGCAAACATGAGTAACTCCATGGAGGATCCATGACACACAATAGATACTACAGTACAGTAACAATTGAAAACACAATGTTTAGGGCAGTGTGCTTCTCAAATAGTGGGGGCGCCCCCCCTCCACATTTTTCATCACATGAGCCTCACAATGATTATAGGAGCAGAGATACATGCAAAAAGTGTTTTAGCAAAGGAAAAATGTGTTTTAGCAAAAGAAAAATGTGTTTAGAGTTTTGAGAAAAAGGGCATGTGTTTTGTGAACAGTGTCTACAGGAGAATTGTGTTTATGGTTGTGAGAAGTGGGGGGAAGTTTTAATACATGTGTTTAGGCAATTGGTCATTTGGTTTAGAGTACTGGGTTTTGTGTTGTAGCAATAGAGAAAAACTGAAAGCAAATAGGGAAAATTATTAAAATCTGGAAGTCTGTCTTTGAGGTCTTCAAGAATCTATTCAAGAATAAATGTGTTTTGTTATTGTTTCAAACTCTGACCAGTCTGATATCTCTGTCTCAGGGTGTGACGGACACGGAGGACATCTCTCTGTCCGACTTGAGCCTCCAGCCGACCAGCCTCCTCCCCGCAGCGGTCGGTGGATTTTTTTTTCCCCTCTCTTGCCATTTCTCAGCAGTCAAGCCAGTCTCATTTCCTCCTCGTTCCTCTCTTCAGCTTCTGTTCTGGCCTAGTTTTATGTTTAGTGGCGCCACCTGTATGTGAGAGCTTAATGCTGTGTCAAGACCCCAGAGGCTAAGCAGGGCAGGGCCAGGGTAGTACTGTGATGGGGGACAAGCAAGTATTGCAAAGATGGTGCAGGGAAGGCTGGCTGCCATCGTACATGTCCCATATTTTTTGTGTTATATCCAATTAAAAACATACTATAATAACTACATAGCTATCTTATTAAAGTAATCAACGCCCAATTACATTCACAACTATAACTTAAAAAAAATATGTATTATACTGTATAAAAACTGAGAAGATGAGGAGGAGATTTTTCCCCCGATTTCAACTACATTTTGAAATCAGTGTTTTTTTGTTTAGCCCTGAATCAAAACAGCAATCGTCAAGGACTTTACAAACTTTTCAATTCACCAACAACAGATCAGAAAGTCTGTAATAAATGTCCCTGAAATTCTCGTATCACTGGCTCCCCATGATCTTAATGTTTTTAAGTTGATATTGTCTTTAAGAATCCAGATATGAGCCATAAGGATTGACCAATCAGATAGCGTCAATCGCAGGGGGAAACTCTGGCTTTCCCTAGCAACCATGTTAGCAACAAGTCTACCAAGGCCCATATAAGGAAATTGGCCCGAGCAAGCTTACGTTTAAATGGGCTTCTCCCGCAACTCTAAGGTCAGTCCACTCCTAGATCACAGTCTATGGTTAAACTTTAGCCTCTTCGGGACCTCTCGTGATTCGTCTTCCAGCCCTTGCAGACCATGCTAGCAGCAGATAAAATAATTACAAAAATGCTGAGAATGCAACATGAACATGTGTAAAGCAGGACAAAGCAAGAGGGAAAAAGCGAATTCACGCACGGATTCCTCTGAAAACACGTCCTCCTCTGAGATTTGGTTTACTCAAGACGTGTGCATTTTAATTCAAACAGCCGCAGAACTCAGGCGTCCTGTTTGGTATTCCATCCGTGTCACCACCACACTCACATTTCCAGAAAATTATGAATTGCTCCCCCTCTACTGTCTATCTGCTTATTATTTCAGTCTTATGTACTGATTTGAATGTGTTAAAATATTCAACACTGTCCACAAAGGCGTCAAACCACACAGTAGATGTAATATCTCAAACCTGGGGACTGGTCTCCCCTCTCCACGCCTGGGAGCCTCCTCAGTCCTGGATCTACAGCCTGTCTGTTCATTGGAGCAGATCCCTCTCTCAATATCTCAGGAGGGTCTAAGGGCACTGATGATCCGAGACATTTACTGTATGGACAGTCGTCATCTCGCGCCCTATGGACCAATGGCTCTATGTGTTTGTTACCATTGGATTCCTTGTGTTGGAACAGCTTGATTCTCTGATCTATTGTTGGCGATTAAACAACGTTGTAAAGTCCTCCGAGACGACTGCTGTTGGCATTTAGGGCTATACAAAAATACATTGATTTGAATTACACCTAACTTAAATACCGATAACTATACATGTGTTGCACTCTTATTGTAGACTAATTTGTGACAATTCAATTTGAAATACAGTCAAAAAACTGCTGTTGCACTCATTCTCACACACACTTGCGTGCACACACACACACACACACACACGCACAGAGTGGGTCAGATGAGTTCAAATTCTGTGATTGTCCAAACTGTGAAAATCAGCGGAAAGCTCTAAGTGCTTCTAATCAGAGCTGAACGGATGGAAACACATCGATCCAAATCACGACGCCTCTTGACTCACCAACGTTTTGTTCCATGAAACATCTTTAGAAGCATTTATGTGTTTTTTTTTTTTTTTAAGTCTCTGTCCTGGTCTCTGCCCTTGACTCTGTCCTGGTCTCAGTCCTGGTCTCAGTCCTGGTCTCAGTCTTGGTCTCAATCCAGGTCTCAGTCCCGGTCTCAGTCCCAGGTCTCAGTCCCAGGTCTCAGTCCTGGTCTCTCTCCTTGTCTCTGTCCTGGTCTCTGTCCTCGTTCTGGTCTCAGTCCTGGTCTCTGTCCTGGTCTCTGTCTTGGTCTCAGTCCTGGTCTCTGCCCTGGTCTCTGCCCTGGTCTCTGCCCTGGTCTCTGCCCTGGTCTCTGCCCTGGTCTCAGTCCTGGTCTCAGCCCTGGTCTCTGTCCTAGAGTCTGTCCTGGTCTCTGTCCTGGAGTCTCTCCTGGTCTTGGTCCTGCTTTTCTGTCCTTGTCTTTGTACTGGTTTCTGTCCTGGTCTCTGTCCTGGTCTCTGTCCTGGTCTCAATCCTGGTCTCAGTCCTGGTCTCTGTCCTGGTCTATGTCCTGGGCTATGTCCTGGTCTCAATCCTGGTCTCAGTCCTGGTCTCAGTCCTGGTCTCAGTCCTGGTCTCAGTCCTGGTCTCTGTCCTGGTCTCTGTCCTGGTCTAAGTCCTGGTGTCTGTTCTGGTCTCTGTCCTGTTCTCTGTCCTGTTCTCGGTCCTGTTCTCAGTCCTGTTCTCAGTCCTGGTCTCAGTCCTGGTCTCAGTCCTGGTCTCAGTCCTAGTCTCTGTCCTGGTCTTACCTTGAAAAGTCATAACAAACTCTCCCGTTCTTTCTCCTTTCCTCACAGACGATCGGAATGGCCGACATCGTGCAGAGACCCAAGGCCGCCGTCATCGTCACCTCCATCTCCAGCCCCTCCATTTTGGACAGCCCTCCCGGTTTCCACGGCAACTTCAAACTCGCCAAAACGTGTAGCAGCATCGCCAAGGACCCTCTGGACATCGCGCGGTTAGAGGCCACAGCTTTACCCTAACGCCACAGGAACCACAGACCAGCCGTGACAAATGTGCAATCAGTATTTTGTTTTTGTTATATATTGTTTTATGCTGTATTTAATATTGTGCTGATTTTTGGGATTTTTTGCTAGTATTTCAAAGACCAAAAACAAAAACTTGTGATGCGACCATGTAAGATTGGCCATTATTACTGAGAGAACAAAACACCTTTTTTTGACAGCCAGCAAAAACACACAATTTTCTCAGACAACCAATTAAAGTTGAGGTACCTACCTTCCAAAACCATGCAGTACAGTCCATCTAACTCACATGCCCAAACTGTGGCCCACGAGCCGTCTGCGGCCCTCTGTGGCGTTGTATGTGGCCCTCTGTCTTGCTAACCCAGAGAAGCCACAGCGTCACCCAGCCAACTTCAGCTCCACCTATGTAAACTTGTTTTTAAACCTGGTGAGGTCTAATAGTAATAGCAACCATTTGATAGTAAGCAGAACATACAGAAAGTAAAATCTAGAGACAATACTTTTGGTTTAAAAGGTAGATTAAGAGTCTGTCTATATTTTTTGACAGAAAAGCTCTCAGCCAAAACAAGTCTTTCTGACAAGCTAAATAAATACAGAATGTTGTGGTCTGATTTAATTATGCCTAGGTTTTATATAGCACTTTTTGGACACACATAATCCCTATTCATCCACTCTATGCATAGCGGTGATAAGCTAGTTCTGTAGCCACAGCTGCCCTGGGGCACATTCACGCACACACCAGACTCATTCTCGGCAAAGTGGATGACGTTTTTTGCCTAAAGACACAGCCGCAGCCGCCCCACCGTGGCACCCGGTGTTCCCAGAGGTCTCCCATCCCAGAACGAACCACACCCTCTCCTGCTTAGCTTAGCTCCTGACACCTTACAGGATGCAGGTGGCGCCACTACATTTGACAAAACTCTTTCTGTTGGGACTAGGGACAAAGTGATACGATATTTTACAAACCCAAATAAAAGAGGTTAGGTACCCCAGCTTTAATACGATACAGAGACACATGAGCAAAGACCAAATTTCTAAGATTTTGTTATTTTGAGTTGATAAAACCATCCACTTTTTAATGATTTTTCTCCATTAGCGCTGAAGTCAATGGGTCAAAACATTCAGGTCTCCCATCTCCACTATTCTACACAGCAACACTTTAAATTATTATGAATATATCTACAGACTATTTTGTTGTATATTTGTCGTCCACTTTGATCTCTGTTTAAAAAAAATTTTCTTTTAGCGACGTCTGCCCCCTTTTGACTATGATTGTATTTATTGACTGCAAATTAAACTAATGTTGTAATGAATTGTTTGGCTCCAAACAAAGACGACAGAAGGACGGAGGACCGAGGACACCGTTAGCCGTCGTTAATGTCACGTTAGCGATGCCCCAGTTTTCCCGCTCTTTTCCGTACGACATCTTAAAGGTCGCTTCATTTTCTCAATCTTTTGGCATTTATTCGTGTTTGTTTGGTTTTTATAAAGTGCAAAAAGAAATTAAACCCAGTGCTTTAATAACAAGGAGCAGTTTTTTTTTGTTTTCTTTTAAAATAAGTAACAAGTCACAATAGATACTGTTTATATAAAAATTACAGTTTTGCCCCAATTCAAGTCAATTCAATGTATTTTTGTAATCGTTCTAAACCACATCAGCAGTCGACTCGGAGGACTTTACACAGTTGTCGATTCGCCAACAACACATTAGAGAATCAAACAGCTGCAACAAAGAGAATGCAATAATAAATACCTCAGAAAATATGACACATTTTCAAAGATTTAATCAAAAACATTTAATATTGATTGAATAAAAAGTTATTTATTTTTTTCATTTTTCACCCTAGTGTCATTGTACTGTAGGACTGGGTCAAATGCAGAAAACAAGATAGTACACTGCAAAAAGTGCTGAAACAAGTTTTGCTAATGGGATAATGAGCAAAATGATCCCGTTTTAAAAAACATACAAGAACTATCTCCCCTGGAATGAAAAACACTTCTTGATATAAATTAAATCAAGGTAAAAGTAGAGGTAATTATTAGTTGTAATTTTTTAACATTTTAATTTAATCTTTAACTTTTATTTTTGGATTGCATGAACGTTTTAATGGATTTTATTTGCTTTTATCGTTTAGCACTTTGGTCGCCTTTAGTGTTGTAAAGATTGAGTGATTGAATAAAACTAAATGCTTTTGTCCCATTGGCCAATCTTGTTTTAAGACGTCAGGATGTGCTGAAATTCAGATAAAAACCAGTTGATTTAAACAATTATTACCTCATATTTTATAACTTTTTGAAGTGTATAACTTCATTAAACAAACATTTGGGATATTACAGCATGTCCACCTCTCTCTCTTCTCCAGGTCTAAAGTTTCTTCTACCGTCTTTGGTTGGAAATCCTCCTTCTCAGCTATTGTAAAAAAAGTTTGTAAAATATGACTCTGAGATGTTTCTTTGATGACGTTTCCTCTCGTGAGTTTGTGGTTTATCGTTTACTGGTGAATCGTTTGTAAAATAAAATGTTTTTGTGTTGTATTTATTTATTTTTATAAATAAAGAAGCTCTTTTCACTCTCTGTGTTGTCACTGCAGCACGCACCAAAGTCACCGTTCAACTCAATTTCAGGTATTTTTGTAGAACCGCTAAATCAGCTTTACAAAGTTGTCGATTCACCCAGAACAGATCAGAGAATCAGAAACACATTCAAAAAACCACAGGATCCATTGGTCCATATGGGAGCGGGTTGACCCTGTCCATAAATGTTAATGAAATGTTTTAAAGGGTTTGATTCGACCGGCTGCTAATTTTTACTTCAATATTAACCTTCAGGCTTTATCCGTTTCTGTTTTACTCGGAAGCAGGGCCAACAGACCGAGAAGAGCCAGGGTTATAGCTGTAGAGGCGTTGAGACAGATTCTGCATCGCAAAAAGAAATTAAAATATGTGGCAATAATTGTTCAAATCAAGTGGTTTTTGTCTTTATTTGAGCACATTGTGACAAAGCCATTTATTATTATTCCTAGAACTGCTGCTGTATCGTCTCATTCCAAGAGAGACATTTCTTGTATCTTTCTAAAACGGGATCATTTTGCGCATTGTCCCGTTCGCCAATTTAGTTTTAAGGCAGTCAGAATGTGCTCGGTTTAAGATACATTTAGCAAAATTTGAGCAATTTTTGACACATTTTTTATGATTTTTTGCAGTGTGGATGAGTGAGGATATTCTATCATTGTGTGTTTTTGCTGTGTTTTGTAAACATATTTTAATTGCATACCTTATTGCAAAAGATTATGAACAATAATGTGAGACTACTGCAATGATTTATGTATAAATATTCCTAAATAAGGTCAAAGGGGTCATAAAGTCGCTGAAATAGCTCGGTCGCTTGAGGGTTAAATGTTATATAATTGGTAATATTGACGACTTTTAGCTTAGAAGTGTTAAGCTAAAAGTTTAATGTACTATAATTTATTTACCATTTTTGACTTCATAACTTTGTGAATTTTTACTGTCTCTATATTCAGTTTATATCCATGCAGCCATTTCCAGGTGCTTTGTTTCTATGGCATGCAGGACAGAACCATTAAACTGGGGATGCTAAAGTTTAATGTTATGCCTTGAGTAATCTTTGACTTCCATTTTTCCTCCTCCTCTCCACAACTTGGAAAGAGTTCAACACATTTTTTCTTCTTTTCCATCAAACTTTAGAAGCTCAAACTCCCAAACCACACAAGGTAACAACTGCAGTTACATTATCCGACCTGTTGGTGGCAGTACAAAGCTGTGGTCCCGTCTTGTTTTGGGGTAAGCGCTTCCATTTGACTGCTCTTAAGAGTAGATTATAGAACACACAGTCAGGAATATGAGAGGTCCAAGGTTATGGATAGAATCAGAATTATTGTCTTTCCATTGTACGTAACAGGAAGTGGCAAACTAGGAATGTGCTTTGGCTCAAGGTGTGGACAAGTTTTAAAAGTAAAATATGGAAAGACATTTACTTGAAATTGACAACTATTACAATATAGATAGCTTCTTTTTAAGTGTCCTTTCTCACAACATTTTCAAAGCACAAAGAGACAAAAACAAACCTGCTCGGAATAATTTTGTTGCCAAGATGGTTCCAACATAAAGAGACTTGAAAAAGTAAAAAGTTATGAACAAAACAAAGCACAACATTCCGTCTTCATCTTTAATCTAGAAAATATATCACCATGGTTTCTCACATTTGGTTTCTTTTTCAGCATCTCCTTGCCGACATTTAAAAACATTTATGGTCCTCCTGCCCCCTATGTACCAATGTATGTGTTTGATATAATGGCTTTTCCTGTGTTCCAACTGATCCTCTGATCTGTTTTAAGCAAATCGACAACTTTGTATTTAAGGCGATACAAAAAGCAAATGGTACAGAATTGAAGAAGGAGCCCTGCTTATGCTGTCTTCAACTTAACATAAAACATTTAATCTGTTTCATTGTTGTATGACAGGACCCGGCGAGTCACTATTCGCCTCTTTGCAGTATGGTCCTCTTTGTTTGACTTTTCTATCTGAAAAAGCTGATCTGAAGCTGTGACAGAGACCAACTTACCAATTGACCAATTCAAACTAGAAGCAATTTCGTTTTATAGCCAGAAACTAGTGACCTGGATTTTATGACACAGTTCACTTGTGGCTGTTTCAAAGTTAGGTACCCCAGCTTTAAAGACACAAATTACAATCATGTATGCTTGGATACGGCACATGTTTTTCTCTACTCAATACAAGAAACAAAACAAAAAGGGAGAGATAGCACACACTGCAAAAAGTGATTAAAAATAAGTAATAAATTGCTCAAATTTGGCAAAATATCTCTTCATTTGAGCACATTCTGACTGCCTTAAAAAAAATAATTGACAATGGGACAATGAGAAAAATGATCTTGATTTAAAAATATATGTCTCTATTGGAATGAGAAAATAAAGAAACAAGTCAAAATTTACTCAAATTAAGATGAAAAACAC